GAATTGTGTTCAGTTTTACCTCAAAATCTTGGATAGGTTTTTCTCCATTTTGCGCACCCTCGATTTGTCAAGAGATACTTTCCCTACTTCCGCCAGGCAGTAGCACATCATTGCTGTGCGGAAACAAGTTTCTCATAAGAGCCCTGGGCCCCTCTTCCGCTTGAATTTATTTATACAGTCCAGCATCCTCCTTCTTGTTTTTCATTGAAAACTTGTATAAATACAAATTCAGCGTCGCAGTAAAGTAATTTATCCAAGTCCAGATTCGGTTCACTTCCTCGGTTATGCTATTTAAGCACTTTCGAAGAGATTAAACCTCATTCTCTAGCCACCTGCATTGAAGTTTTCAGCAGTCGTACTACCTTAGATAGCATAACCGAGGAATTTTGATACGTTTCTTTCCTGCGATGCTGACTTTGTAGTTATATAAGTTTGCAGTAAAAAACAAGAAGGAGGATGCTAGTAGCACTGAATTTTTTTAAATTTTCAAGGCGCCTCACACCAAAGCAGCGCTAGCATGGTGTTCAACTTAAAAATTGTCGCCTTCTATTCTTGGTTGTTTGTTTTTGATCGTATTTGTTTGACCTTGTTGATCATTTTTGCTCCAAGGCCCAAATCAGAGAGGCAATTCTTCTCAGAGTATCACAATACTTACGCTATACCATGACAACAATAATTTTTGCGACCAAATTGTTACCGGGCATCACTTTCACAAAAAAAAGTATCCAACAACGGTTTCAATTCCATCACCTTCAAGTGAACGTGATCAGTTTCAGTCTTAACAGGAGCGTCTCCCGAGACCGTGCTAGCAGTATTTCGTATCTTGAAACTACTGAAAATCTTTTTTTCACATTTCAGCAATCATTTGCACCAACTTTCAGTCCGGACTTCTTTACTTCCGAGGAGCACATCAGCATACAGCTTCTTTAGCAGATTGTTCAAGTATTGAGAAAATAGCAACCAGAGCACCCGCTTCAAAACTGAGGACACCCAATCAATCATCACGTTTTGGTTCGGCAACGTCCACTGCAATCAGAGCCACAGCGTAAGTCTTCTAACAAACAGTCGCCATGACTGAACCAACTACGAGTTTATCAGTGCTCGGAAATCCATATTTCTGAGTCACGTAGGAGTTGTATGGTTTCTGATGATTGCTGGGTTCCTCAACCTCAAGATATCTCCGCCACTCCTTTTACATATCCCTCTTTCACCGTGTTCAACGCGAGCCACAAAATACGAGTAGTCTTTCTTGTAAAGCTTTTTCCAACTGAATGTCAGTTACTTCTCCCGTTTTTTTGGATCGGAAAGGATCAGCGTCCAAGGAAGATTAGCGTCGGTTTTCCTGAAGTTGACCTTTCATGGTATCTTTCATCGCATCAACTCTGCAAAACCTAAGACCTCCCTCCGTTATCCGCGTCAGTTTAATCATTTTTTAAACTCGTTTCGGGTCTCCATCGGCTTTCTTGAGGCAGAATTGACTCCGTGTAAAAGTCTTTCATCTGGTTTTGTGTTGATTTTAGGAAAAACTTCCTTCAAGTTCGACCTTGAGACCGTTTTCTTTGAAAAACTAGGTTCTCCCGTTTCCCTGCCCATTTTTTGGACCATTTTTTGGACCCTGTGCAAGCACAGACTTGGACCCTCTCATATACTGTTCATCCATAAACTGCTGTTTTCTTCAGTTTCTCCAGCCTAACTGGTATGGGAAGTATAGGTATAGTAGTATCTTTCAATAGATAAGTAAGCCTAAAAAACTTAACTCTAGGAAAATCACATCCAGTGATATTCTTGTTTTTTTTTCTTAAATTACTTATCATACAATAATAAAGCATGCGGCAAGCGGCGCTCCTCGCAGCCTGGATCCCTTTTTTTCCAAAATTACTCGTTTCTGGCCCCTGCACATCAGGACAGGCTCTCCATATTCCAGCTCGACATCGGCTAGACCATTTAATGGGCGATCCTCGCAGAAGTGTCTGAGAGTCAGTCCAATCTCAAACGCTCAAACCACATTATTTTCTTGGTCATCTCAGGTCCCAAGGTTCCCGTTTGATCACCTTTTCATAGATTTACCGGCGCGCATTTCTCAATGTCTATCAACTCCACGTCCCTTGGTTCTCCTCCTATCTCTTCTTCAATGTTCGATATTGTTCCTCATCTTTGGAGAGCAGCCTCAAAGTGTCACCGGTTTTATCAAGTTATAAGGGAAAGGAGTCACTTTGCCATCCTCTGGGGAAAAAACCGAAGCTCATACCGGTTTCCAACTTTTCTAACTGTGGAAACTAATCGCCACCGAGGAACCAACTACATGTAAGATTCAAGTGACATCGCTCGTTCAGCACACGCGCAGCGGTCTCCGGAACCAGCAAGAGATCAGTCATTCAATTCGTCACCCGACGAAAGATGGGGAAATCTGACTCTTCGTCCTGTCCCACTTCCTTTTCGAGGACTGCACTCAGTTTCATTATACTGCAAAGTTGGACTTGTCGTACCTTGTCTTCTTCTGGGCATAAACGAGGCTCATACAGGATCCCAGCTATTTCTAATTTGTGGTTTTGTAGGGTTGTTCTAGTTCTCGTACACGCCATGTGCTTCAATTTACTTGATTCGATTGTATTTTAACTAAACACGGATAAACTGAAAAAATCTCCTATTTTGTTTTTTGTTGCAAAATGTGATAACTCAAGGAACTTCCTTTAGCTCGAAGATGTAAAACTAATCAGAACCAATTTTTGAGTTCTCGACTCTAAAATATTTTGACCAAAAGTAGATTGTTAAGTAGATCCCAAGATGCTAGTTTTTTCTTTTGATTTCAAAACAATTCGAAGAATACTCATAGTTAATGATAAATAAAGCAATTCAATCTTTTATCGTTCATCAAACATCGTCTGGAAGAAAAACCGTAGCTGGTTCAAATTATGCTATTTCTCTATCAAAATAATATCTTTTTTGTTACCATGTCTCAGAGTCAAAAAACTTTACTGATGCAATAGCCTTTACTGACGCTCGCGCATGCTTTCAATTTCACAACATTTATGTATCAATTCAAATTAGAATTTTAACACAGAGGCGAAGCGAGGAAAACGCAAACAAAAGCTCTAAACAGGCAAAAAAAAGGAAAGTTAGGAAAAGGGAGAAGATTAAAACTACACCTTAAATAAAGTTTTGAATATATTTTTTGAGCGTAGAAGTATCACGTTCTCACATGTGCTCCAGAACTGCTGGTAATTTTACTGACATTAGCCACTAATGAAGCAGCGAAAAAATTGAGCATAAAATATACTATTTCAATGTTCCGGATATGAATTTCCGACTAGATGATCAGAAGAGTCACTCACGTGCTCGTATCTGCGCCACGGTTACATGGAATTAAGCTAGCGGCCCAGCTAATGCTAGTTGTACCTGTTTTAATATTTTTAATTATATAATGTACTGATACGGAAATGCGTAATTTTCAAAATTTGAAAATGGATTTTTTGCAAGGCCTTAGTAATTTCTCTGCTCAAGTAGGAGATTAGATTTTCATTTAAAAGATTGATAACAAATAGGAAACTGATACTCGACTTTTTAATTGATTTCTTTATCTCAGGTTTAGCCCGGTAGTTTTCGAAAGAGAGAAAAAGATTGCAAAAAACGATCAGAAAATCACAACTTCGACTTTTTTGTAAATCCATAAAAGTTTCTCTTCTAAAAAATGCAAAGATGTTTTTAAGCAGGGAAAGTTTCCACGCCCTGATTTTCAGATTGAATCTATTTTATCAGATTTAGCTAGCAGTTTTTCATCTTGATGATGAAACTTGTAAAAAATAAAACGGTAAACATTTCAAGGAATTGATGCCCGAATTTCATATCGGCGTTTCTACAACAAAATAGGATACAACGGATCACGCACGGAAAATCTAAGCACCGTGTTAGTTTGAATGAACTATCGACCTCAAAAACCGCCCATTCGTTTTTGAAAAAAAAAGAATTTTTCAAAAAACGGGCAAAATTTCAAAAACTCGACTTTTACTAAGGCCATAATTTTTTTCAAAAAGCAAGGAATAGCGGTTTGCGCGAGAGAGATTCAGATTGCAGGTTTTGTTTTCGATTAAATCTTTAATTGCCAATTCGACGGGCTGATTTGTGAAAAAAATTTCAAAATTAACCAATATGTCAAAAAACGGTTTGTTTGAGGCCATAACTTTTTTCTACCGAATTTAGGGAATAACCACTTGAGATCCCGCTGCTTTGTTCTTTTGAATTAAACCTTCATTTCAGATTTATGCATTTATTATATATGAAAATGAAAAAAAAATCACAGCAAATAGGTCAAAAAAGCCCCCTTTTGAAACTTTCGAAGGCCGTTCGACGTGGGGTAAAAAAAAAGAGACTAGCAAAATTTGCAGGCACATAGAAGGGCGGCCGTTTTGTCCTTTGGTACCATTTTTTAAGATACGGTAGGTTAGTTTTTGTGAAAACATTGAAATTTCAGCAAAAATACAAAAATTTTCCAACCGTTGCAAAAAATACAACAACAAAAACAATACATCCCATACATTTTCATAATACCTGTTTTCTCAAACAGGATATAAGCAAAATAAAAAACAACTTATGGCATTAACAAGCCTATGATTAAATAGGCTTAAGTTTGATCAAACTGAAATATACTAAAAGTGCAACCAAAGGAGTTTTTTTATTTCCGACTTAGGTTCGAAGAAAAGTTCTTCGTAATAACTCACTTCGCTTCGCTTGTGTAAAATTAACGACGAAACCAACAGCATCTTCAGCTTTATTCTTTATAGAACGTTGCACCTACTTTTTTGCCCGATTTTTGAAATTTTTCAGTTGAACGCGTTTTTAAATAGAATTTAGATCAGCCAATTATTACTCCATTACATTTTTGCATTAATCCGACATTAGCTCAGCCCAATTATGTTAAAAAGGTTAGTTTAGTCTGATGTTTTGTTTTCGCAGTCCGAATATGAAGATAACATAAGTTTTGAGCTTTCTGATTCGATAGATAATGCGAGAAAGGATTAAATTAAGTACAACTACTCTAAATAGTTAACACAGTGAACTGATTTATGATCAAATATGTCTGTCATCGAAGGTCAATCAAGTTTATCTACTTCGGTAATCTAACTCTATACTAATCTATTGTTCAAACTGACAAAGGCGTCGAACGCCGCTCCTTTATATAAGTGTTTCGATTTTTTTCCCTTCATTGAAATCCAATTGATCTGACAGATGAAAGCTCTGAAGCAAGCGCTATAGTGTTTGGGTGCGCTGCAGAGAAATAACATTGGAGTTTTCTGCACAGTATTGGGTTCACCATTTTCCGGGAAGTGCACCCACGCGTTTGAAGAACTCTCCCAGCACGACTCCGAGGGTGCGCACCTCTCCAGCATTCAGGTGGATCACAGGTCTTCCATGCAGAAATCGGTAGTTGCATACCTGAAGCAGCGTTCACTCAAATTAAAACATCACCAAAAAGTCTATTTTAATTTTTTGATTCAAAGTTCCCAATAGGCTTATTTTTGTTCGTTCCAACTGCACCTGTTTTTGACCTGCTGCATTGAAAATAATTTTTTTTGCATAGGATTCTTTGCTGTTTCTAAATAAATTCGATGCAATTTTGAAAACCAAAGAAAATTTTTTGCTGTGAATTTAGCAAAGCTTCAAAAATCAGCAAGTTGTTTCAGATCTTAGTTTTGATGGAAAAAATGATATTAACCGAATGCAAATGAAACTGATATTAGCCTAGAGCTTTAGTATTGAGTATTTTGATTTTTTTTTGCTAGGTGGTATTTTTCTTACGATGGCGGCTTCTCCAGGACTCCAGTTGAGTTGGATGCCGTGGTCGTCGTAGATGCCCACGAACTGGGCCACTTCCTCCTCCGAGAACTCACTGTCGTCCCCAAATGTCATCTTCAGCGGACGATCCTGCAATAGAAGAGACAATGTTTTGAAATAAGTTACGGATTAATTTGTATCTTGTATTGCCAAAGCCTACCGCAAAATTTGATTTATTGAATATCAAATTTTTTAACTTCGGTTGTTTTCTGTTTAGATAATTTCATGAAAAGATTGAAGAACCAGCAATGAAATGCTATGCGTCAATTCACTCTTTGACTCGATTGAACTAAGAAAATTAACAATCTCTAAGTCCGGACGCAGAAGGTTATTATGGCACAAAAATGACCCAATTAATTGCTTTCTTTCAATTACAGAGAGTTTGTTAATGATAAGTTTTTAATGTCATGGACAGGTTAGTATGGACAGGTCAGGAGTATGAACATGTTAGATCGATTGCTTCACCATCTCTCAATTAGGTACCCTTAGGTGCAATTCAATTAGGTATCAAATTAAAAATAAGTTCAATATATTATACTAAAAAATAACCTTAAAAACAATGCATGTAGTTCTTAAGCAGGGGAACAACGGCGGTTCGCCGTGATGAGCCGTACAGCTCGTATGTTGGTCCTTTCCCTCGTGGACAAATGTTCTTAACTTTAAAGTTTAGTTAAAATATGATTTTGCTGACCTCCTGAGGAAGATGTTCGACTAGTGGCCAAGTGTCGAACCAGATAGAGTGATCGGCGAGTGAGGCGTAGAGCAGATTCCTATCTATGTCTGGACAGTACTCGTAGGAGGGGGCGTAGTACTTCGTGATCATCTCCCTGTTCTGTCCCCACTCCACCTCCAGACCCCTCTCTCTCGCTCGCCGCTCCGCCTCTTTCATGTCCCCAGTCAAGAATGACTTCTGCCAGTGGTTGTACACACCCACCTAGATCAATTAAAACGTCAAAACTAAACAAAAAACTGTAAAAAAAACGGATAACTCTCTTCGATCTTAAACTTTAATTTACAAGTTTCAAGAATCAGGGTCAGTGCTGCTCAGATACATTTTGTTTATTTAATTCTCAACTGAAATATAAGTATCGCAGTTCAAACGTCAAGAGTGACAAAACTTCCAGTTTAGTTTTATGAAGATGTAGAAATATAGTGAAAAAGTTGGACAGTAGTTCAAGAAAAAGTGAACGCTGAACAGTCTATGATAATGACTTTTCGTTATCTGGAAAACTTTGTGCATAAAATCTTTTTAATTTTAAATACCTGTGGAATATGGAGGTAGTGTTCCCTGTCAGTCAGTTTCCTGATGTAGCACACTCCCAGGTCCTTCAGCTTCATGCCCAGGGGAGTCCTGGCGATGTTGTCGGTGACTCGGACGTTGTCTGACACGTAGGAGGACCCATCCACTCCCGGAGTGAGGTCGCTGCAGGTGAAGAACACATTCCTCACTGTCGTGTCAACATAGGCCATCTCGTGGTGGTAGTGAACAAACGACTATTCAGAAGAAGCAAAAAACAAGTTAGTCACTTCCTAGCTTATTGTGTTGAAGTCTTATTGTTCCTTGTAAATGAGCATGAAAAACAAAGACATGAATGATTTCAGTTAAAACATGGAAAAACTTGAAAAAATCTTTCAAAAAACAATGTTACAATTTCAAAATTTTTAATCATCGACGATGGTCGCGCAGGATTAAAGAAGATGTGATTTACATATCATTTAATAAACTCTCAGCAATGATTGCTTTTTCCAGAATTTCTGCCTAATAACAGTACCAAAACAACAAATACAAATAAGTGCTCTTTTCCAATTTGCATCAAATGTTAATTTGTATTTTTCTGTTATTTCGCATCAACTTACAGACATGGACACTCCAGTGTCGTAGACATTTCCCTCCACCGGTGACCTCGGATTAGCCCCTCCAGTGTAGACTCCTCCTCCTCCCAAAATACCCTCGAAGGGTCTCTGCAGCTCCTCCGCGTTTCTAGTTCCAGTGTTCTGCAAGTACACAAGTCCAATTCTCTGGTACAAATCTCTCACTCTTCTCTTTAACTCGTCATTTCGACCCAGGTTTTTCTGGTACCTGTAAGCAAGTTTTTTTTCAATTTTCAGTCATGCTTTAACTATTTGATGGACGATTTAATGAACATTATATGAATTTGTAATTTAAGTTTACCATTTTTTCAAAAGCATTCATTCGAAACATACCGAAATTTGTCCGAAACGTTCGGAGCAAAAAATAATTACCTCGACTCGGGTTCTTGTGTTACAATTATATGTGAGGATGTTTATAAGTGAGAGGTAATTTCTGGTCTGTTTCTGCTGTTACCTTACCTGGTACAATCTATGGAGTATTCCTCCTTTTTCACCCCGACTGAGGAGGGTTTGATGAACTTTGGGATCCAGTGAGGTTTGGTGAAGGCATTCGCTATTGTCACCAAGGGAGCGGCCTTTGTGGCACTGCTGGCCATGGGTGAGGCACACATGATTTCAAACAGTTCAAAGGGATAAATCAATTCAAAATGAATTCAAATTCACAATTAAATCAAAAACAAAAAAGCTGTTTATTTCTAAATATTGTTGAAAAGATTGCAACAAAATTAAGTATATCGGCAAATTAGTGTGTTTATAACTGCAATAATAATTGAGCTAGCGAGTTCTGGTTCGAAGCTACGAAAAATGAGGCTAAATAGCGATGCCCCTTATCATCTGAAATCAGATTAAAGTTCAAATAAGCAAACATCAAGTGACACCATGTTCGGAGAAAGCGGGAGACAAAACACAAGTCGGCGTCACACGAGAACGAGTCGTGTAAGAAACGACTCGAAGTCGTGCCCTTTTTCCCCAAAAAGGGAAGCAGGCTAAATTTTAACAGAATCAAAATTATACGAGAAGTAAGATAAAGCAAATATGAGAAAAAGGCTCGGCACCGAACCGCTGGTTAAGCTTCAGATAAGTAAAGGTTTATGTCTCCCTATCCAAAGGTCGACATACCAATAATAGAATGGAATGCGACGAATCTAGAGCAACTGAATATTTAATATTTGCTCAGTTTGTACGCTCGGTTGCTCGTAGTGATTTTATCAAATTGTAGAAGGCGTTTTTCTTGACATCTATTTCTATTTCATCACCCCACGTGACCTGCACTTAAAATAAGCAGTCGAATCTAGCTAGACATTGAACTTTAATTAAGTTCATAGACGCCTCAAGAAACAACTCGACACACCTCTTCAAGAACACGATCAACTTCAAAACATATTGACTGTTTTAATCAAAATACCAACCAAATAGCCGGCAAAAAAACAAGCGGGGAAGTTTTAGTGTTTTGCTGGGTAAGAGAGGGAAGCTTGGACCCATTCCATATCCAGAAAGTCCATTTTATATGACTTTAAACCTGTTTTCTCATCCTGTTAGATATCATTTAAAAAAGCGCGTGCTTGATTCCGACCGTAACATCTAAAAATGTCAAACTATATAAGAATTTTCGAAATCGATTACTTAAAAAAATTGCTAGAAAAAGCAAAGTCGCAACTTCCCGAAAACGTTTCTTACTTTTAGTCAGTGACGCACATTTTTTGCCATTTTTAGAAGACGCGTGGATTCAATTTAGCCCACTTTAAACGGACAATGAAGTGAATAAACTTTCCGAGATGAGCAGTACAGCACAAATGCTACCAACAAGAGTAAGAAAAACTCAATTGAGTCAATTGTTGTTAGGCTAAGAAAATGGTAAGCATTATCCTAAGTTACCATCTTAATTTTCTTGAAAAACAAAAAACTCTTCTTTCCATTACGTAAATTGTTTTTAGACTGCTACATTATTGATAACGAAGACCTCTTAAGAAAAATGTTCTGATAGTAAGTAAGATCCACAATTTTTTTTTGTCCAGTAATTTTTTTTTCTCGTTTTTTTGGCGAAAACCAATATAAATTGAAATCTAAGTAGTCACTTGATTTAATTTCGAATACTGAGAATTTATTTCTCACTAAGTATAAAAAAGTTACCAAATAAAGTTCCGCTCCTAGACACCTCTTGGTCCAATGGTGCTCTCCTAGGGCGCAAAATTGTTGGCGTGGTTTGAAATTTTATAACTTCCCACAATGGAGAAGCCTGAAGACAATTTATTTTTATTGTTGTCATGGAATGAAAACAAGCCCATCTTCACTTCTGGCGAAATAATTTCCAGGGTTGACATCCATAGACCAAAAATGATAATCATACAATTCCATAAACTAAGTCTATGAAAAAATACTAATCAAACAAATTTCAAACATTTTGCTAAAATTGTGTATTCGAACGAACTTTTGAACAACTTTTCACTTGTTTTGGCATAAAATTCGGTGTATCGTACTAAATAAAAAAGAAAAACTTTTTGTCAAAAAGAATGCTAATCATACAATTTCCATATATGGAAAATGTATGACTAGCATTTTTTTTGAAATTAACCCAAAAACTTATTTGTGTTTTTTCAACCGCAAATTGATTTTCGTACTCAAATTTTTTTTTTGAAAAAAAATGCATGCAAAATTTAATTTTTTGTGTGTATAACGTAGTCCTGGATGTACTAATATTGGATTTTTCTTTCCTTTTCTCTACGCTTGAAACTCCTCTTCCTTTTGTATTGCCTGTTTTTGTATGCCTTTATCAATGTCTGGTAACTTGAAAATTCAAATTTTAGAAATAATCATCTTTGAAAATTTTTGCCAAAATTTAAGAGTTCGTTACTTTTGTTATATTAGTTGTGTGAGATAAAATTTAAACATTTCAGGCTATTTCCAATGCATCTTTAATACGAGAAGGCCAAACCTCAAACCTTTGGTTACTACCTTTGAGTAACCAAGGTTTTTGTCATTTGTGTTCGGTTACGAACACAACCAAAAAATTTTGAGAAATCAAGTGTAAAAAATCAATACTTTTGGTTTATGGAAAAATGCTAGTCATACGATTTCCATATATGAAAGAATACTTATCATAGACCTTTCATGCAATTTTCTGTACTTATGGAATTGCATGAAAAGTGTATGATTAGCATTTTCCCATATAAGAAAATTGTATGACTAGCTTTTTTGGTCAACCCGGGTAATCAAGAAATTAGTGAATCAGTTTGATTAAATTTAGCTTTTCAAAAACCTTAATAATTGTAGTTTAGCCAAACAATTATAAAATTATAGCATATACATTGTCATTTAGCACTTCTGAGTTAGTTTGCCATTGATGGAATTTGTGAAACGAGTTGCAAATCAAATCCTAGCATCGTGAGATTGATAGCCCTCTAGACAAATCCATTTTCAAATGTCAATTGCAAATTCTTTTGGCAGATCTTTTGATTTGCTTTTGCAAACTCAATAACGAATTAAAAAGCCTAAAAACTATAAACAACTCCTCGACTCTTTCTGGCTATCGATGAAAAATAAACAGATGTTGCAAAATTGCAAACAATGTGGTGAATCGGTTAGTGCTTTTTTAACAATACTCTGTGCCTACTCAATTTCTAAACCTGCTCATATTTACATCATCTTGCACGATATCTCTCATACTTTCAACATCCCTCTTCTCCTTGTCCACACTCAACTTGAGCACCTCCATAAAAAGCCGTTACTTTGCTAATAAAACAAGGATAACCGGTGGCTCTGCAAGTAACGCAATGTTCCGACGACCTTCATAATAACTACAAAAGAATTCTTCAATATGGAGGCTCATCAAATTAGTGTCGTTTCTTGTGCTTGGTGTGATGAGAAAAATTATACAAAACTGTCGAGCCTTAAGTAAATTAGGCATAATCATTAACATTTGTCTTGGAAAAACAAAAAAAAACAGAAAAAATGAAGAGAAAAAGCAAAAATCTTAGAATTTTTTTGCAAAGTACTTTTGGCAAGGTTCGCTTTTGGCAATGTTCGAAATAGTGATTGATATCTGGACAAACATCAAATATAGCTAGTCAGCAAACAAAAATCAAAAATTTCAAATTTTTCTCGGCTCTTAAAATTTTTGCGAAATTTTTCACTGCAGCTTGAATCACTAATGAAAAACGTTCCTATGATACATTACTCTACTGCGTGGTCGGAGCAATAACCTCAAACAGACGAGTCAAGAAAACATGATCAAAATTTATATTGATTTTTCAAAATCTGGTAAACATTTACTGCTAAAAAATTGAACTTTAACTTGATGCAAATCAAAAAAATATTAATTACAACAATAAAAAATAAGGGTAGAACAACAATGATATATTTACTGATAAAATATTTTCATAATTATTGTGATGTTTTTTTTACTGGTATGCAGCATCACTGAGTAAATTTTAAGTCAATACTGCGTTAATTTTGATTCAATACTGAGTCAGTTTTTAGGTCAATATCTCCCTTCTGGAGCGGATCTGGGATTTTCTCGATGGTGGGTGCGGATTTTCAAAATTTTATCAATCCTCCCTTATGGTACCTAGTAAGGATACACTTATTTGGCCCCTTGTATCAAATCCTCCTTTTGCAATGGGAGAGAGGTAGTCAATAATATCCTAACCAACTGAAGAACAAAATTACACAAAATTATAAACTAAAACTATCGTAGCATACAGTTCAAATTTTGAAGGTTGATGAACATAAACCAGCACAAGATATGAGGAGTTTCACAAAGCAGCGTCAGAATTTTTCAAGTCTGATTGTAAAATTCATTCACACTTTTTTAAAAAATGACAGCCATTTTACCAAGTAATCAATTGTTCTCGATCAACTTGAATGCGCTTTTAATTTTCAAAAATCTGAAAAACATTCTGAAGTTGTGCAAAAATGCCTAAGCTGACATTAAAGGAAAATTATCTAATGTGGCATGCAAGAAAGCAGAAACAAACAATGAGCATTCAAAATTAATTTCAGCAGAGGTGAAATGGAACAGAGCTTGGTGATCGATTCCGAGGGAGTTCCGCGCGATTCAGAAACCGAATGATAAAAAAGCCAATCGACAGCACATAGATTAGCCTATCGAACAGTCATCATATTCATCAAAATCAAAGATGGAAAAAAATTCGCGAAATCTGTCAAGATTTATACAACTTTTCGGCCAGTTAGACTTTCTGTCATGAAAATAGCCTCCCGTTATGTTCACGCCTCAGTCTGTTCACTCTGCATGTGCATACTGGTGCTCATTTCTTCCATATATGGATGGAGCCCAACTGCCTCGTGCTCCTCTTGTTGGGGGGTTTGGTCCCCGTTGCCCCCTCGTTCCGCCGCATTCGATCTTGCACTCGATTGTTTCTTGGTTCGATTAACCGCACTGATTTTCCGCTGGTTTAACACCATCGCATTGGCCGCATTGTTCTAGAATAAAATATAAAAAATAGTAAAACTACAAAAATAAGAAGTAATTGGCTTTATTTATGGCACAGCTCTTGAACAGAGTTGTTAGTGAGAATTGTGTTTCGGGCTTTGCCGACTAATGATGCCCCTAAAATCGTCCAATTTTCATGTATGGAAAAAAATGCTACTCATCGAACTCCATTAGTAGAGAAAATGCATGAAAGGTCGATAGTTACTAAATTTTCATATGTGGAAGTTGTATGATTAGCCTTTTCCATAAACTAAAATGGTTTGTGAAAATTTTGTGAAAATGTGTTCGTAACCGAACACAGACCCTGGCTACTCAAAGCTAGAAAACCCGTGTCGGGCAAAAAAGACGACAGCTCTTGAAACAAATGCAATAAAAAAAATAAACTTTTAGAGCGTTTTCAAAACAGTTGTCTATAAAAACGGAAATATAATTCATTTTTGTGTATCCAGGAGTACGTTATGTTATGTCCACAAAACTTAAATTTTGCATAATTTTTTTTCTCTCGAAAAGCTATATTCGAGTACAATGGGTTTTGCTCTTGAAAAAAAAATACAAAAAATCTTTTGGGGCAATTTCAAAACTAATTTAAAAAATGTCGCCATCGAAAAAAAATGCTGATCATACAATTTCCACTTATGGCTACTGTATGATAAGCATTTTTTGCCAAAAAATTTTCCTTTTTCATTTTTGTCGGTACACCAACTTTTAAGAGACAAAACAAAAAAAAATCTTGAAAAATTTCAGTAACACCATTTTAACAAAAATGTATGAAATTGTTTGGTTAGATTTTTTCATAGACATAGTATATGCATAATTGCATAATTAGCATTTTCGGTCTATGGTGGTCAAACCGGGCGTTCAAAAAAAAGGAAATAAATATGCGATTAGGAAAAGGGTAGCCCCATCCCCCTTCTACTCAGCTACAGCAGCACCAAAAACTTTGAATAGACCTGAATATAAACTTTCCAGAAATCGCGAAAAATTCAGAGAGCTTGTTTTTGTATGATTTCTCTTTTGCGTTCCCGAATGGGTATCGGACTGCTTGAGATTCAAATTATACGCGTTTTTAGCAACCTGAAACTTCTCTTAGAAAACAACATTTTTTGTCATTATGTACAGTGACCTGTTAATACTTCATTCTTGCTTCTGTGTTTGACTGTACATGCAAGTTTCCTGCAGACTTGATTACCATTGATACACTTACCTGATGAGCTCTCTGTTCTCTGCTGTGCTTCATATACAGCTTCAGTCCAATGAATAGCATCGGATTCACCAGGGAGTTCAAGTGACACAGGGCGATCGAGGTCCTGCAATTATAGTAACATTTCGATGAATCTTTTTAAAGATTTAGACGAAGTTGAAAAAGGAGAATAAACTATCTTAAATAATTTCATCGGTACGGATTAAAATTGGTCTGTGTATAGAAGTCATTCAAGGGAAAAATGAGTGAAAGGGCCAGCGTCGAGTTGCTGGGCTTCCAATTCAACTTGCGATTCGAGAGGATGTTGTTTCAAACTGAAAATCAAATGCCAGAGAACCAAAGCAAAATCGAAGCATACCCGATTCGAGCCGAGGTAGTCGAAACATTAATCCAGCGCCTTGCACGTAGGAAATACGAGTGGCTCGAAATTGGTCACTCACTTAAACATGATAAAAAGGATACTTTGTAGTAGTTAGAACATAGTTGAAAGATGCCCGGGGGAAAAAAGAGCCCGGCCTGAGGGCACGAAGTACCCGAGTGCGGCTCTTTTTCCCGAGGCCATCTTCAACTATGTTCTAACGGTTGATGAGTATGTTTTTGCTTTTTCTGAGGGAAAGATGCCGGAAAACTGTGAAAGAGCCCGGAAAAGTGCGCGAAACTATGGAAATGATTTCTTTTTTCATTCATGCGTTCTAATATTTCTTTTTTCATTCATGCCTTGTCGTGAAAGTAGTAGTAGTAGTAGTAGTAGTGTAGGCTTTAGGATTTCTCCATGGGTTTTGAACCCTCGTTTATAAGTTCATAATTTTTCCCGGTGGGTTGCAGTTTCCACACCAGCAAAGAATTCTCCACATACACAAGTTGTTTTCTGCAAAATTTCTGTTGAAGAATTTCCAAAACGTGTTTGTTATAGATATTTTCAGGCTGTCATAATCTTGATTTTCGAAGTCCACAATTTGGCTAAAGTAGTTGTATAGCGTAATAGAACGTATATAATAATTTTCATTTGACTTTTTCAGTCTTGTTGCATGAACAGCAATCTCACCACGTGTTGCTTGTCTCGTTCGTGATTCGTTTTTATGAATAATTGTATTCAAATCAATGTCATGTTTATTTTTTAGTAGTGAAACTAAGTACAATATGTCGTGTAATTCAAAGTACATTGAGAGTGGAAGGAGCTTTAAAAATTTCAGTCTTTCAGTATAACTCATTTTGAAGTTATTTGTAATCCAAGATGTCGCTCGTTTTTGTACTCTTTCTAGTTGTCTTAATTCTGCTTTGTTCGGATACCATGTTTGCGATGCATAGCTTATGATTGGTACGATGTATCCGCAGTATAAGTTTAATTTTGACTTTAAAGATGTTTTTTTCGAGATATTTCGTTTGATTTTGTAAAAAGCTCCCATTGCTTTTGATATGCGATTTTCAGCATTTACTGACCACGAAAGGTTGTGACACATTAAAATACCTAAGTCTTTTTGGGTCTTTGCGGTATCAACATTTTTATTAAATAGTGTAACTTCCATTTTCCCTTTGAGGTTTAACAAATTACATTTATCTTCATTCAGCGGCATTTTATTTTCTTTGCACCATTTTTCAACATTTGCCGTGTCTTTTTGCAGATGAATTTCTTCAGTAGACAGGATCTTCATATCGTCACAATAGCCAAAACAATCTGAATTCTCAATGCATTTGGGAAAGTCGTTAATGAATATGATAAAAAGTAGAGGGCCAAGAATTGAGCCCTGTGGTACACCGCTAGTTACTTCTTTCAGAGTTGATGAACTTTTATTGATTTTCACAAACTGCATTCTATCTGTTAGATAGTCTTGTATTATGTCTTGTATTTGAATGCTTAGACCTATGTTCCGTAGTTTGGCGACTAGGATACTATGAGGAACTTTATCAAAGGCTTTAGAAAAATCTAGATAAAGGACTGAGAGTGTTTGAACATTTTTGTCATCGTAGAGTTCATATACTTTGCTCAAAAATTGTACCATTTGTAGTACTGCTGACCTTTTTTGCCGGAAGCCGTATTGTGCGTTTTCCAGGAAAGGTTGTGTGAAAGAGCAAACATATTCTCTTCGAATCTATGATTACTCGCCTGTCGATGTAAGTGCCCACTCCAGTTGGTTTGATCCAGTGGTAGACGTGCAGCCCAGTCACTGCATCCACACTCTGGATGAACTTCATGTTGTAAAACGGGGTGAAGCAAACCCAGCAACTAACACTCACCACACTGGCATACAGTTGAAGGAATCTACACACATCAAAAAGTCTAACACATCAAGAATCTAACACAGGGGCGGATCTACGATTTTCTCGAGGTGGGGGGGGGGGGGGGGGCGGATTTTCAAAAAATTTTGAAAATATTGTCGACTTTTTTATTAGGTCGACCAAATTGATTTTCTGAGCTCTCCTGAAAGTTTTGGAAAATTTTGTAAAGTTTTGACCAAAAAATCGTTTTGTTTTTGGCGCGCGCTCCCTCCTCAAAACGGACTTTTGGGTCGGCAGGGAGTCGAATTCCTAAGAAGAAAGTCCGCCCCCCCGCACCCTCCCTAAATCCGCTGGTGGTCTAACACAATATAAATTATTGCTGTGTTTATATTATCATTTAATATCATTAACCTGGCCAACAGCTGATTCAAGCTATTGTGGTATTTAAAATACTACACAGACAAAAGACCATGATCAATTGTAAGGACTGAAATAATTGTATTTAAATTACTATTAATTTTGGTGGGTTCAATGAATACGAATTTTTATTAGATAGATCAATAGTGCTATGGGGCTGTTTAAGCTTTTTTAAGATAGAAGTTAGCTCTGGGGTATTGCTGCTGAAGACAATAGTTAATTCGTGAATATTTTTATGTGTGTTTTTGGACAAAATTGTGATTTGATCTTTTTGGATATTGGTGATATACCAAATAATTTTTGTGGATTTACTTTTCAACTTTAGTTTTAAATTAAATGCTGTTGTATTTACTTGATAAAACTTGGTCATAGCATTCTACATCCTTTTTCAGTTATAAATATTAATCTAGGTGATGACAAACAACATAAGGAATATTTAAACTTTTCTAATGAACTTGTTATTATTTAAATTTGTTGAGGAGAACTTTGTATTTCCAATAAAAAATGATGACAATTCAAGTAGACTATACCGATAATGAGTGTGAACTTCTTAATTTAAACTAGATCAGTCTCCGCCTGAACCAAAAATACAATTGTATATTAACTTATATCAACATCCCGTCGGAGACAAAAATAAAAATAACGGTCTGGAAACCCAATTTCTACTAGACACTGGAGCAACATGTTCGCTTATTAATTTTGACAGTTATGAACATTTTTGTAAAATACAGCCTTTACAGCTAACTAAATCTAGATCAAACACAGTTGCTGTTAATGGAGAAAAACTTAAACTTATAGGTTGTACTAATTTTGACTCAACATTTGGTACAAACACTGATAATCCGGTAAAAATCATAGCATGGATTTCGGCCGAGAACGGATGCGATCCAAATATTTTAGGAAAGGATTTCATTTCTCACAACATTAAATCAAAAAACTTTCCCAATTTAAACTTAAATTGAAAAAATACCCAGATATAACAGTTCCTATCAGTATTATAAAAAGCAAAAGTTATCCATATCTAAGCTTTTAACAAAATGTACTACTTGATAAAAATTTAACTATTGCACCAAAATCATCCTGCGTAATTTCAATTTATCCAGCAGGCATAGGTTTTAAAGTAGGAACATCGTTTAGAATTGATTAATCCTTAATACAAAAAGCACTTATTGTAGGAATGAAGTTAAGTCAATGCCTATCGTACTAAAAAATTCCAGAGAATCAAAAGTAGATAAAAACAAAGGTTTAATAGGCCAAACGTTTGAAAACATAGAAATAAAATAAACCCGTTTCTTCCTGCTTTAAAATATTTATAAACGTGAAGTTTTCATTAAAGCTTTTATAACGCTTAAAGTTTTGTGAAGTTTACCTAACATTTTGTATACTGAGCAGTAAATTTAGTTTAAAATTACTAAAAAATAAGATTACGAATATTATCCTACAAATGTACTACAATGAATAGCGGTTCTGTATGACACCCAAAAGGATATGCCAAAATGCATGAACACGGATTTAATTCTTTACCGAGATCGAAAACAGTCAAGTACGCTAACAATTTTGGACCATCCTCAAAATCAAAAAAAGATAGAGGGATCGGAACCCATTGGCTCAGACAAAAAAGTTTTTCGACTTCAACATAATTGCAAAAAAAAGTGCAAAAGGCCAGGAGTTTAAAATGTTACAGTTTTACGAGTCTATAAAAATTTCATTTTCAGGCAGTTTTATTAACTGAAATTTCAGTATTACACTTAAGTGAATCTCAAATTACCCTGCGTATAATAACGAGAATTAATAGAGTGAAACCTTTGATGAAAGACCTAGCCAATGTAAAATTGTATCAAACTGTATTTCTGCGAAGTTAATTTGCACCATCGGATTCCTCTTAATGCCCAAGTAGGGACCAATGACATTAATTATTGGCCTTGTAGTTTTCAAGTTACAAATGCAAACTAGAAGAAATTCATCAAAAAGGGAAAAAATTATCTCTCTTTTTTCAACAAATTGAGTACGTTTTTACAATTATTCATGATCTTAAAATGGGCGAACATAGTTTTTCGACCCGACCCGCCGCAGGTTTATGCCAGCATATCTTGGAGGCTTTATGTAGCCTTTCAATACCCATGGCACCAATTTCTTTTAACCAACGCAAATGATTGTTGGTGGCTGTATGCAGCATTTGAGACTTTTATGATTCACTCCTCAAAATTTTGGCCACTTTAATAATTTGGTAGTTTAGAATCCCAAACACGCAGGCATTTAAATCCTTGAAAACAACAAATTTTCAGAAGCAACACTTTGAAAATTGGATGGCATCATCATTAAGATTGTTTACGTTAAATTTTTGCATCATAAAGTTCAGGACGACTTTTCTGTACTAAAGATGTGAACATGGATTGATGCAGGAGATTAAAACCGAAGAAGAATTATTACACTTAACTTATCGAATATTATACCGTTTGTAATTAGTCTTCAACTTTCCTTACCTTTGATATTTCGTTTTTTTATTACTTTATCAAATCTTTTCCATATCTTATCAGAAAATGAAACGAAGATTCCTGGTTATGACAAAAATGCTGTCAAATGAAATATTATATTTGTTTATACCTGCCTTACAACTTTTACAATTTTCTATTTGTTAATATTTGCATCTAGTAAATCCTAACCCAAAATTTATAGCTTTATAATTTGCTAAGGACCCCATGGTAAGCCTGTGGATGACCCCAGGTGGACATACTTTTAAGATTAGGGGTTAATTAAAGCCCAAATTTCCATTTTTTCTTTTAACTACATTAGTTTAAAATCTGAGCTTAACTCAGTGTTGTAAAATGCTTTATTCCTGTGGTTAATAAACACCATGATTGTCTTTCTTCATTTGTTTTCCGTGGTGGGTTTGTGTGAAACCACAAGTTTATATTTTCCACCTTTTATATATACAATTTTACAGTTTTATAAATGTTCTTCATTATAATAAGCCTTAGTATCCGAATGTAATTCGGGATTTTGAAAATTTTCTTTTTCTTTATTGATGTTTAGCAAAATGGAATATGACCCAATTTTGAAATGGAACTGCCAAAATGCTGACCTAGCACCCAAGGAGTTCAAAAGAAAATTGCCTCTCAGAAAGAAGCAACTAAAATCTGTAGTACAATCCTTGTCAATTTGACGACGGGTTAAATAAGAACCCGCGGAATTTTCCCAGTCTAAATCAAAGATTGGAACTGCAGAAGAACAGAGAAGTAAAATTGGATACTGAAAACCCTAGATTTATTACGAGTTCGAATTATTGAATAAAACAAAACTACAACAGATGGAAACTGCCATCGTTTATTGAAGTCGTCAACTCGACGACAATGGAAAAGGCGATGATGCCTGTCTAGTTTATAGCCCAACAAAAAGTGGTGATAAAGGAAGAAACCAACTTCTAGAAAGTGAAGAAGAGATAAGAGCCAGGCTACATCCTGAAAGCAGGGGGAACGCAAGTTACCATCCCGTTTGAGGGAATAACTGCCTTCCCAAACTATGTAAGCATAAATTCAAGAAGAAGAAAATCGTCAAGCTACAACAAAAACTCGAGGCTTCACAGAGAAAAATACCGATCCTCAGAGCGTACAATGTGGAGCTAGAAGCAGGAAGGAAGCTCTAGACGAAAATTACAGAGAGTACAAAAACCATATTTAAATTTGAGTCCATTAACTTAACTTATCTACATAACTATTTCATTTGATGTTCTTTTTAAATGTTATAACTAAAGTATTTAACCATTAAAGTGTTTAAATTTTCACCCTGTTAGCTGTAAGAATCGAACAGCTTAATTTTCCTAAAAAAGGGGTGAGTTGTAGTATTGAAAATACTACACAGACAAAAAACCATTGTCTTAATTGTTTATTTAACGACCCAATTCTAAATTGTAGCGTGCCATTTAAATTAAAGCCTCTATTCACTAAATCAGATATGGACTGATTTACTCTTATTAGGACTATAAAATCTTGTTTTGTAAATCCACTAATTTTTAAATACTTGTCCAATTTTTCTCATTTTTTCATGCTCACTATTTAACTTGAAACAACGTGGATAAATATTTAGCAGTCTTGCCGGCTGCACTGAAATTCTCCTTGCTTTGATTAAGCAGAGATGCACCTGCAATATGATGCATCAGAGAGAGTAATATGAATTTTTAATCAGACAAAACTGAAGGCTGCGGTTTTAATCAAAGGGGACTAATAAGTTAAAGATATTTGATTTGAAAAAATCAAATCAAAACTAGTTGAAAATTCCCTTATAAGAAAGGGAGAATAAAGGAGCAAGTGAAACCTGAATAAATAAAGATTGAATCAGCCGCCGGTTTATGCTTACGAGCAAAAGGACTGGCCTGAAATCTTCAGTGTTTCATTTTGCTCAGTAAGCAGCAAGTCAGATCTTTTCAGTCAAATCTTTTCAAAAATAAATAATTTTTCTTTTCTGCCTTTACAATAAAATTAAACTAGCCTTTTTCACAAAGAAAATAGATAATAAATTTTCATTTAAAGTTCGATAACATTATAAATCGAGATACTCGAGATACCCACACCTGAGGAAGTCTGGACTACAAGTACCAAAATGACTACGGCAAGACGATACTGACGACCAAACCAGAAGTGTCGAAGTGGAAACAATCAAGGGCGACCCAAGAATACTAATCAGCCATCGACCTTAGTAAGAAGATAAAATAATGATGAACAAAATAAGGTTAACTCAACCTCCCCTCATAGGTATAATTCTTCAAGCTGTTTGATTCGTTTATATAATCTAATAACTCAGTGCTTTGTATTTAACCAACAAATTAATTCATACCTTTTCTGACTATTGTTTCTACTCTAACTTTTGTCAAGACAACTTGACGATCTAAGATGAGATTTATAACTTAGGATAAAATTACTAAGCATTCAACCAGCAATGATCGCTTAGTAAACTATTTTCTGTGATAATAAATTCTTCAGGTTTGAACAGTTTTGGACGGTTATTAGTTTTGGACAGTTTACAGTTTTGACTGAAAAATTGTTTTTTTTGGCAAACGCCACTTGAACTAGTAAATGTGGAGTTTTTAAAAGAGTACCAAAGGGGAAACCCTTTGGGTAATCAGGGGACTCGAATCCACAAAAAGAAGCGTTCGCCCCCTTCCCTCCGCTAAATCCGCTACTGATTTCTATATTTGTTTTGTGATTTGTTTCCTTTAGATGAGAAAAAAATGAACTAAACTGCTCGTATCAAAACAAATCCCCAGTTTTTATGAAAAAACGACAAATTTAATTAAAATTCAAAAAAAAATCGACAATCGGAATAATAGTTGCCGACAAAATTTTTGAAAACCCTATGAAGATATCATTCAGCTGAAATTAATTGCAAAAAAAATGTTTTAAGTACAATATTTGGTGATAAATTTTACAGAAGTTTGAAAATTGCCAGTTTGACCATCGTCTTGACTAAATTATGCGCGATGTGAATATCCATGATTCTAACAGCATACGCGAAATATTAGGCGGCAATTTATACCGCAACCACAATCGTTTCATAATAAAACAAGACTGCTCGTATCAGGGCGAAGCCCTGAATATTCCGACTGCTTTTAAGGTTATGGAGCAGTAATAACAGAAAAAAAATTAAATGTAATAAAATAAAATGATTTTTTTCTTCTGAAATTTGAGATTTTTTGTAAAAATCATCCCCCCACACGCCACACACGCCATATAAAGTACAAAATGATAGATTTTGCTCCTTGTAACAAATAAAATATGGCAAATAAGCTATTTTCAAACACTTTGGAACAATTTCTAACGCGGATTAAATCGAAACAGTTTATCGCGCGTTAATGGTTCAAAATGGGGGCATTCAACAGTGCCGAAGTACAACAGTGCCGAAAAAGGCGAGAAAATTTCAGAATAGCTTAAACGCTTTTTCTAAAGAGCGAGAAATTACTGACGCTAATTATCAAAGACAACCACTCCGATTTCGGCGCCAAAATATCTTCAACTGCAAATTAAACAATTATTTTGGCGCCAAAACGTCTAAATTGCAAATTTTCTCTCCCAAAATCTGTAAGTGCCACTTAAGATTGTAAATGTTCGCCGCTTAATTTTTGATTGCCGCACTTAATATGTGGAAATTTGTTAATATTTTCGGCACTGTTGAACAAATTTTTCATTTTCGGCAGTGTTGAGTTATTTTTTTTCGGCACTGTTTTACTTTTGTAAAAATGCCCACAGGTAAAATATCTTTTGAAATCTAATCTCAGGGCAACAATACTTTTTGAAAAAAATCCCACCCGGGCACAAATTTTTTGTTACTAAAGTCGGAACAATAAAATAACTCGGGTCAAAATAATGAACGATCTGACTGCCCCTTCATTTCTATTAAGTGACCAGAGTTCGCAATGTGTTGAATTTAAGATCAAGTCAACAGCATCGTTGAGATGGTTTAAAAAAAATTGTGAAAATTTTTTATATATAAAGTCGAACTTTGCTGAATACGAATTCTAGCAAAGGCATAAATTTTCCTTCATTTTTTGGTATATAAACAGAAGGGGCTAGTTGTTTTTAAATGAGAACAACAAACTCTTAAAGATTGGCAGTTTCTCACAATATCAGCAAAACTCTCGCGTTTATGCAAAGAATTCAAACAGTTGCCAGAAAGCAAAAATGTTAACATGATAGATAGTCTGAATTAGAATTCCTTGATGTTGACCTTTATACCAAGATTCAATTGACATCATCAGACACCAGAACTGATTGTTAGGAATTGTTCATTAAGTTTTAGAGAAAACATGCCAAAAACGAGTTAGTTCCAAAAATGTTGGCCATGAAATCGACGGCGCTTTTAATAAGATTTTTGATGCTCGACCAAAATTGAGTGTCGGACAATAGTACCAAAAAAGACTTATTCGTTAGCTTGCATCTAGTATTTTAACCAGGAAAACAATTAGCATTTTTGAGCCAGATTAAGTCGCCGCCTACGCTATGATCGGACAAAACAAATCGCGCATTAATTATTTCCAATTAAGAACAAGTTTTCAGCCAGGTTGAGTAACCGCTAACGCTTTAGTTGCAAAAACCATATGGGGGCGTTAGACAGTGCCGAAGTTAGAGAGTGCCGAAAAAGGCGGGAAATATTGGAACGCAATTTAAGAGGCTAGCGTTTGGCGGGAAAATTAATAATGACACTTGAAACTTGTTCAGACTCAATTTTGGCGCCAAAATCGATGAGCAAACAAAACTTTCTTTTCTTTTCTCAATTAGTTCACGACAAATAAGTCAGTTTCTTTCATTTTCGGCACTCTTTTCAAATTGTTCAGACTCAATTTTGGCGCCAAAATCGATGACCAAACAAAACTTTCTTTTCTTTTCTCAATTAGTTCACGACAAATAAGTCAGTTTCTTTCCTTTTCGGCACTCTTTAACAAATTTTTGTTTTCGGCACTCTCTTACTTCGGCACTGTCTTACCCAACCAACCATATCGCGTGAATTTTTTCAAAGTGGCACTATTGGCAATTTCCAAACCCCCTATTTTTGCCAAAAAAAAATCTAAGCAGAAACGGTTTTATGGAATTTGGGTGTCAAGATATAAGAAAATTCGTCCGAATTTGGCTAGTAAAGACCTAATTTTGTCTAAAGAAAAAAAGGAACACCGAGCACGAATATTTCATCCATTCTCGAATGTCGGAACGATGAGCCAAGCAAATCTATTACTACACGACTGAAGTCTTAACGCGTGCTTTTTGTATCGGCGGTTCATAAGTTATAGTTTATCAAAACTTTCCGTTCAAAATTAGTTCGAGACAAATTAAAGGGAAGTCGAAACCTTCAAAACTCTGCTTTTTTATACGGGCGGTCTTCTCTGATTATATAGATATCGTGAAATTATTTTGAAACCAAAACTTTAAGTTTTCTCCAAGACTGTTTTTGGCTCTTTTTCTTTTTTCTCCCACCTCACACAAACATGAATTTTATAATGTAACGAGTGGTTTTTCAAGGTTGTTTATGAAAACCAAATATGTTTCTAAGAACCTAATTAGTCCGTATGTCAATTTCCAAAACAATAGAATAATGTGAACAAAATTTTTTCTTGTAAAATTTTGCAGGTGAGGGAAAACAAAAAGAGCCGTTTTTTTCTGTGGAAATGTTAAGGCAATCTCGAAGACTTTTGTCTGTCTGCCGCTAATACTAAATTTACTTGTGAGGTGTGTTTTATGTAAGATCAATCGCTTTTTTCAAATAAAAAGAGTTTGAATTTTGAGTGGTGTCTTCTCTAATAAGCAAAGAAAACATAGATATTTTCTATTTGAGGGCTCATTATTTTGATCAAAGTCTATTATTTCTGTTTTTGCGATTCAATTTATCAATCAAACTTGGCAGAAATTTTCACGCTTAAAGTAATTTTCTATAATTAACTCTTCTGTTGTTCGTCTATCAAAGAAAACCTCAAGACTATGAATACCATTTGGATTCAGCAACGTTGCCTGCTCTTTTTGTCAACGTCAAAAATTAAAAACAAAAACAAAACAATGGTAGCAAAAAAAACGCCCAATTTAATTAAGCTCAGGCAAAACAGATGACAGAAAAAGAATTGAATGAAAATTGCATTGAAGTTTCCCTACGGAAAACAAAAATGAAACTTGCCTTTGAATTCAAATAGTCAGTCAAACATAAGTTTAAAGTTGAAACTTTAAATGTTTGTCAGTGGTTAATTGGTAAACAATTTCGAGTTTGAAAGATCTCTCGAAACCACCAATATTCATTTTTTTCATTCTTTGAAAAAGTTTATTTTTACCTTTTCATGGAATGGTTGAACGAAAACTTTCTTTTTGCCGGCCTTTCTTTTTGTTGGCCCAATTTGGCTTCACGTGGTTTCCTGAGTTGTTGATTATTGGTGCCTCGATTTTAGAAGTTTCAAATTATTTTTCGTTAAAAATTTGGTGCTGCCAATAAATAATCAACAGGCAAAAAATTTGGGTAAAAAGGGCATGTAAAGACTTTGGCGGTGAAAGGGTCGAATTCACCAGCAGATTTAGGGGGGGGGGGGGTAGTGCACGCCCCTCCTCCTCAGGAATGCGACCCCCTGCCGACACAAAGAGTCCCTCCTTTGTACTATTTTGAGATATCCATTTTTGGTGACGGACCCTATAATTTTTCTAAAGGCGCTTTTGAGCGCCAATGTAATACCAACTTTTTGGGGGGGGGGGGGGATTTTTGTTCAAATTTTCTAAAACTTTCTTAAAAACTTTCTTAGAAAATATGGTCAAGATAGGGTCTTTACAGTGATTTAGGAGAGCTCAGAAAATCAATTTGGTCGACCTAAAAAAAATGACGACAAATTTTTTTTTTCGAAATTAAAAAAAAATTCGCCCCTACCCCTGGAAAAAATCCTAGATCTGCCTCTGATCGAATTTATGAAGGGTTTGAACACCAACCCAAATGGAAAAAATTCGAGTTATATAGTAATTTATGGTAGTGTGCGCGGGAATTCAGGAGTTTTTGAGGGGAGGGGAGACGTTCAATTGATGATGAGTAGAGCACGCAATGTGAGTTGATAGAAGTGAAAACTATATAAAAAAAGTTGAAAAAAACTATAAGCTGGATTAGTAACCTGTGAGCCAAAATTGCTCCCGGATTAGTGTTGCTATTAGCGGTGTTGGGACTGACTGCAGCATTGCTATTGTGGCCACTGATGCTGCTGTTATTAATGTTGTTGCTGTTGATGTCATTTTTACTGTTCTGATTGCCAGTGTTGCTCAGACAATGAGCTACTTTAGGTCTACTGGTGCTGGCAGTCATCACAGTCACATCACATGATGATTGCGCTGACTTGGCTAGTTCAATATGTTCACTTGGAGGGGTTTCTTCGACATCTCCAGTCGTGCAGTTGTTTACGACACCTGTAAAACGAAACGCTCAAAGTGTTCTAAAAAAATCAGACTAAAACGATTCAATTGCGTCGAAAGGTGAGATGTTTTTACTTTAAGACTTTATTTTAATGTTATATTTTAATTATATATTTTGATTGATATAACAAAGTTTTTGAGATCATATGTTGTTTTAACCAACAGAAATTACAAGTAAGCAATCACAAAATGTTTGCTCGAGTTGAAAAACCATTTGAAATTTACAGAAGATAAAAATTTTTGAGATATTTTCAAGTTTTGCGACCAAACAAGTGCGGATGCGAGTCATACAAATTTCATCTGTGACAAGCAATTGATGTCGTTTGCAACAATCAGCCGGATTTGAAAGGCCAAGAGTTTTTGTCAAACTCCATCTGCAACATATTTCCAATTTAATTTGATTTTGTGATGCACAGCACTGACATAGCAATTTCCTCGGATTATTTACACAATTTTTCTTACGTAAATTGGCTTAAAATAACATGTTGCTTTTTTTAATTGACCAATTATCGCCAGCATTAGACAAATCAATTCTTCCGCCTAAAATTTTTGTTTCAAATTTTGAACTGAAATTATAAGGCTTGAAATTGATTGACTGAAAATAGCAAAACAGATTCGAGCGGCAGTTTGAAACAATCTACTTACAATTTTTTTCTGACAATTAAATCATCCGAACTCACCGAAAAGAAAAACAAACAAGACTGCTCGTATCAGGGCGAAGCCTTGAATGTTTCGACTGCCTTTTAAGGTTTTATGGTGCAGTAATAACATCAAAAAATTAAATATATCAAAATAAATTAAAAAAAAATTTTTCTTAAATTTAAAATTATTTATTAAAATCATCCCCCCACACGTCATATTAAGTACAAAAGGATAAATTTCGCCCCTCGTAACAAATCAATTATGGCAAATAAGCTTCTTTCAACCAATTTGGAACGATTTTAAGACGGATTAACTCTCCGCTTACGCGTTATTAGCGCGAAATATATTGCGCGTTAATTGTCCCAAATTGGCCAAAATGGCAATCTTTAAACCCCCATAACTTTACGAAAAATGATCACAGGTGAAAAATCTTTTCAAATTTGAGCTCAAGACAACAATACCTTTCGAATGAAATAAAAAAATTCCGTCAAAAATGGCTAGTTAAAAAGTCGAAATTTGTCTGAAGAAAAAAAAAACCCACCCCGAGCACAAATATTCCGTTACTTTTGTATCGAAAGTCGGAACAAAAATAATTTCCAGAGGAAAAACATTATGAACACCCTCACATTGGTACCGACCTAGGATTTAGAAAAAATTACTCAAAAAATACTTATTCGCACTGCGAGAACAATCAGGGCATATCATATTTATAAGTTTATAATAACTTTCTGATTTCTTTTGAAGTGATCAAGTCCGTTAATAACTCCAAAAAGAAAGAAGTTTTCATTTTATGAATCCCTGAATTTTTGGTTTTTTGTAGTGAATGGGCATAAAAGACCAGAAGGGAGTTTTTACCGCCAAGTTAATTTCGTTCATTTCGTTAAATTCTTACTTGCAACGCATGCAGAAAGTTTTTCCTTTAACAAAAAGATCAAATGATATCAGTTTCAATACAAATCTAAACACAAGTCTTATCGTATGAGGGCAAAACCCAGAATGTTTCGACAGCATAAAAAATATATGTGTTAGTTTAAATTAAAATAGATATTGAATATTAAAAAAAAAAACATTTTTTTTTCGTAGGTAAACCCCTCACACGCTATGTAAAATACAAAGTGATGTTTTTGTAAGCAGCAGTTTATTAAATTGACAAAATAGCATGGCTCATTTCAATCTGGAACGACTTCTAAGACGGATTAAACCTCCGCTCACACATAAATAGCATGAAATATATGGTGCGATGATTGTCTTAAGCCCGCCATAATGGCGATTTTTAAACCCCTAAAAAATGATCATATATGAAATATCTTTAAAGTCAAGACATTTAATATTTTAAAAATTAAAAAAAAACTTATAAAATACCAAAAAAACTCCACGTCAAAAACTGCTGGTTAAAAAACACTGGAGAAAAAACCGAGCACAAATATTCTGTCACTTTCTTCGAAAGTCGTAAAAAACAGTAGTAAGTTTTTTTTCAATATTTGTTTATCTATAGCCAATTGTGGCGCAGTGGTTTACCTCAAAATCAATTTGCGAAACTTACTTCGCTTTACCCATCGCCAGGCAACAAAAAACTACTGGTAATCTTATGCCCTAGGTATTGCAACGATCACGTACATTTAAATTGACAAAATGTTTGAGAATATCTGTCACATTTATGGGAACCACCAAGCTAACCCATACAGAGCTCTATGACTTTTTGTGAATTTATTTTAAAAACTCTTTTCGAAATACAATATTACCAGAAACTGAAATACTATACACCCAAAAAAAAACAGAAATTGATTTTCATCCGTAAATTTTGAAAAGCAGAAATCATAAATTTTTTTTATCATATTTTTCTTTTCATAGGTCAACTTTTCTAAAATATGTTTGTGTTTGACAGTTTAAACCAGTTTTCTGATTTTTTTTTTCAGAAAACTAAGGAAATTTTTCACCATGCAGAGGAAAGGTTTCATCATACAATTTTCTTTTAGGAAAAATTAAAAGAACTGTTAAATAAAATCGGACCCTCCAAAAATGATGCGTAGCATTTATCTGAATTTCTGTGGCCTCAAAAACAACTGTAAATGAATTTAAAGAAAAATCAGTCAACTGTAAAATTGCTGTAAAATTGGGTTGCAAAAAACAAAAATAAGGAAAAATTTTGTAGGTTGTTCAATTTGAGTGGATTATTGTTCCGACTTTCGATACGAAAGTAACGGAACATTTGTACTCGGGGTGGGTTTTTTTTGTTCTTATTAACTAGCAATTTTTGACGGATTTTTTTATCATTCGATATATTGTTGTCCTGAGCATCATTTTTCGTGAAGTTACGGGTGTTTAAAGAATGCCAGTTTGGCAATTTTGGGACAATTAACGCGTAAGCGGAGAGTTAATCCGTCTTGGAAATTGTTCCATTTTGGTTGAAAGAAGCTTGTTTACCATAATTGATTTGTTACAAGGAGTGTAATCTATCATTTCGTACTTTATATGGCGTGTGGGGAATGATTTTTATACAAAAATTTCAAATTTAAAAAAAAAATTTTTCATTTTGTTTTTTACATTTATTTTTTAATGTTATTACTGCTCCATAAACTTTTAAAGGCAGTTGGAACATTGAGGGCTCCGCCCTGATAGGAGCAGACTTGTTAGCTTTTTCCATGAGAAAGATTGCTATGACTTATCTGAATTTCATTAAGCTAAAGATGCACAATCAAAGTCAATGAATCGCTCAATCGACACTTCTTGTTCGCTCAATAGACAAAAAGAAAAATGTGAGCAAAAACAAAACATTCTAGATTTTCATCAAATTTTTTAGCTGGGCAGATTTTTTTCTGAGGTTAAGAACCGGGTAAGCATAAGATTCGTTTTGATCATTTAAAAAGATCGGTTTACGTGACAAAAATGTCAATTGAAAGAAATTAATTGCTTTGTGATATATTTTTTTCTATCACACAATAACGTTAAAAATAAAGAAAACGCTGCTTCAGAAAGATCCTTTGTTTTCTAAATGAGATTTCTGAAGACAACAAAAAAAAACTAAATTTTTTGTTTAAATTTGTACCAGTGATAAATAACACTATTTGGCTTCTAAAACCTTGATTTGTTAAGTATAAGTTTAACGTTAACGCATAAAATATGCAATTTAAACGTAACTCGATTGCTGCAAGTTCTCTGTAAGGGCGTATATAGCTCAAATTATTTATATCGTTTTTTTTATTTAACATTTCAGTGCTTTCATTGAAATTTATTCATGTAACAAGAAAAAGAAGCGGTTAGTGTAAGAAGTTTCACTTCAAAATTGATCAGGTGATATAGAAAAAAGAGCAAATAAACCCAACCTGTAGTTTGAATTCCATGTTCCAACAATTTTCAGGAACAGGATTATAGAGCCTTACTTAAAAACGAAAAAGAATCAATTTATTCGAGGAAATGTACTTGCTCCATTCTAAATATCAAATGGAAATGAATTGCAAAATAACATAGAAGACAATAAATCCATTTTCTACCAACTTTTGCCTTTTTTCAAGGGAAAACTGGGGGAATTCAAAACACTAAATATCCCTCAGCACTCTTATCAAATTTTCTTTATTGTTCCGACTTTCGATACGAAAGTAACGGAATATTTGTGCTCGGGGTGGGTTTTTTTTTCTTCAGACAAATTTCGACTTTTTAACTAGCCATTTTTGACGGAATTTTTTAATATCATTTGAAAGCTATTGTTGTCCTGAGCTCAAATTTGAAAACATATTTCACCTGTGATCATTTTTCAAAAACTTATGGGAGTTTAAAGATTGCCATTTTGGCCAATTTGGGACAATTACCGCGCGATTTATTTCGCGCTATTAACGCGTAAGCGAAGATTTAATCCGTCTTAGAAATTGTTTCAAATTGGTTGAAAGAAATTTATTTGCCATAATTGTTTGTTACATTGAGCGAAATCTATTTTTTTGTACTTTATATCGCCTGTATTTTTTTGTACTTTATATCGATTTTTGTTTTGTTACTTTTAATTTTTTAATGTTATTACTGCCCCATAAATCTTAAAAGTCACTCGGAACATTAGGGCATCGCCTTGGTATGAGCAGTCTTGTTTATTTTTTTCAGAAGCTTTCATAACATAAATTTTGGTGGAGTTTCGATTAAAATGAAATTAAATCAAACTATTAGAAAAAAGCACTTCTTCAATTTAAAACATTTAATTGAAATTAATTGCAACACATAAGTAGAAGTCACGTAACCCCATTTTTCTACCCTTTCTCATTTTAGCGAGTTTGAGTGAGAAAAACAGAAGTCAAAGAGCTATGGGAGCGTAAATTTTGCCAATTTGGCCCTTTTGGCCAATTAACGCGGGATATGCTGCGTGCTGT